ACGCAAAATGAAATCGTAGGAGGCTCAAAACACAAATGATGAGGTTTTGCCTGGAAACAACTATGTACGCAAACGTAACTTACCTATTTGGACGTGCTACAATGGTCCACAACTTAAAAATATAGCCGATGCAAAATCCGACCCCCCTAACGGGCAAAAAGGCAAAAATGGACTTGGAACGGAAAACATGGAATCCAAAAATGTAAAATGGAGTCAAATGACCATTTGGCCCTTGGCCACACTTCATACAAGATTAATAAGACCATATGAAATAATGAAAATGGAATTCCCACACCCGATGCAACCATGGTGAAGCAATGACTTGCGATTTTTCAAGATTTTCACAATATTTCATGAAGTTAAAAAGTACATAGAACACAATATATTGGTCATTGGCCTCCGGCCTCATCTCATACATATCAAATACATTGAAAGAAGTGTACTTAAGTATACATTACATACATGGAATCAAATATACATATTTTGACATATAAGTCTACAAAATGACATTTCATGCTAACATTTGCATGAAATGGAAACTTGAGAGCTACACGACATCCAAGGAATGCTAGGCATCATGAACCAAGTCTTCGTACCTGAAATATGCCCCAGTATCGTAGGGGTGAGTAACATAAAGCTACTCGTAGGAGATGAGCATGCATCGACCTAGCATTTTACAAATTTATCACCTTAAGGTGAAATATGTTAAAGGGGTTCATGCCACCTAACGTCTATATCGAAAGGAGACTCAGGGAGTATCCTAAGCTACCTTAGAGTGTTTCTAGCATAAATCACATCATCTATGCCATTTAAACAATATGGAAACATGTTATACAAAGCAACAAGATATAGGTTCTCAGAGGTATTAACTTGCAATCTCGAATACAGAAACAACTAAAGTGATCATGTCACCTAACGTCTATGTTCTAAATAAGTCTAAGGAATCATCCTAGGTCATGCTAAACAATCAAAACGCAAATTACAACTTCAATGCAGTCTAACCACATAAAAGCATATTATACAAGGCAACAAAATACAATTTCTTAAAGCTATCAGCTTGGAATCTAAAGCACGAAAACAATAGAAGTGGGTCATGCCACCTAACGTCTAAGTTATAAATGAATCAATAGGATCAATCCTATGCTTTATTAGAACGTCAAAACACGATTTTCAATATCAATGCAATTTAGCCAACATTGAAATGCGAAATCAAACAAAGTGGATACTTGGACGTCACGCCGGATTAGACAGACAACATAGTTACTTTAGGGTTACTAGCCCATGGGTAACCTCCCTATGTGTGCACTAGACTATATAGAGGGACTATCCCCCATACTAGAACCACATCCTAGCCATAGCCAAACAACGACATCCCCAAGTTTCCAAAATCAACAAGTTGTGCAACAATACATATATCAACAGGAATATGCAAGATAATTAACTATCTACCAAGCACAACCAAATTTGGAAACCTATACAATACATGCTCTAAATCCACAACTAATATGATATGATGAATGCCGAATCTTCAGTGTGCGATTCGTTACACACTATGCATGAATGATGTTAAATATGAAGTGTGCAAATCATTACGCATGATAACAATATATTCAATATTGAAAACATAAGCTCATGAGTTTAAATACAACAACAAGGTAGAAATTTAATTAAATCATGCTAATTTAAATCCTAAGGTTCTAAAACAACTTCAAATAGTCCCAAATTAATACATACAAGTAAACAAGTCATGATCAATACAAATATCAAGTTAAAACCTTAATTAAGCTAATGGGACCACAAAATAGATTTGAATTAATTCTTTTAATTAAAATCTCTAGATTTTCAAACTTAACCAAATGCTCTCAATTTAACATATCTTAGAGACCATGCCAAGGACTAATGTAATATCACATTACAAGCTTATTTCATGCAAGTTACACCTATGTAAATTAAACTTTCGCTAAAGTTAAATATAAAATAAAGGCTGCAATTCTCATGCAATTAATCCCAATTTAATATATGTGAACAACCACACCAAAACTTAATTTTCTAGCATGCCACAATTCAATTCCAAGTTGTATATCACCATGAGGATTAAATCTTAAACAAGGAAATTAATTAAATGAAAGGTTTCAAAACCTCACCGAATATTCTAAATCAAATATATGTGAAGCTATATGGCATGTAGATCAAGAATATCAAGTCGGAATTCAAATGGAGTGAATAATGCACTCGGGGCAAATTAATTAATCAAATTAACTAAAAATTACTAATTTTCAAAACATCTCCAATTACTTTCAAATTCAACTATGTTGGAGAGTATGCTAAGGCCTAATTTAATATGCTAACACATATTAATTTTGATCTAGTTAAGG